TATATATATATATGTACACAGATACATAAGAGAGATATACATATATATATAGAATTGATTTTGTATAAAATGTATGAAGAACAGTATTTCCTCTAGAATTCGAAGCGTAGATCAGACCGTAGGATCAAGCGATACACATAAACACACAGCGAGGTTCGGTGTCAAGTGTACGCAGACACCGACATCGAGATGTAACGATTAGATATTATGTATCTAAAAGAGAAAACAATGTTCCTCTAAGCTGAGTAAGCCAGCCTTATGTTAAATAACGTAGTATTAAGAATGTAGAAACCGAATGCGAGAACGTATGCCGAAAAAGGCAGCGACAATCGCGCCGAAATCGAGCGGGTTCGATTGGCTCTAAAGATTTATTTGTTCCAGCGATGAAAAAAAAAAGCGTGGATAAAGTTCGATGTGAAATGTCAGAGAAAAAAAAAGAGAGAGAGAGAGAGATATGTTGGCGCATGTATTAGATCACAAAAAAATCGCGTGAAAATACACAGATCTATGTGAGCGGGTGAATCGCGAGTAAATACGTCGACTAGAAGGTCGTCCGACAACACGCCTTATTTTTCTACAGTCTTACGTTTTATCAGTATTCCCTAAATAAAAAAAGAGTTTCCCAGGAGACATTACGTTCGAGATCATGTATACTAGAATACGCCGCAAATAATTTGCGGCGTATTCTAGAACACAAAGAAGTATATATATATTATATCTGTGAATATATGTACGAGTTGTTAGTTGTGATCTCGAAAGGAAATGTCATTGAATACGAGGAATACTAGAATGTACTGTAGTTCGTACTCATGATGATAATTTTCGAAAACGACGTAGAGACGCATAAAGAATGCATTATATCGATATATATAGAACATCGGTGGGGCCGGATCTATAATAGGTGTCTTTAGCTTTTAGAACTATATCGATCAAAAATTTTAAGTCGTAAGCTTTAAGAGCTGGGATCTGGCCAGCTCGCTTAAAGCTTAGAGATCAGAGTTTTAAGCAGCGCGGGAAACATTTCTGGCCGGAAACTATGTCATATTTTAGGGCTTACTACACCTATTGTAGACCCAGGCTAAAGCATGATCGCGATTCTTTTTCGTTACGTATTATTTATTGTCAATTGTTATTATCATGACTGACAGCTCGTATGGTGAATAATGTATAGAATATTATATGCACTATTTTAGCAGGTATTAGCTTATACATATATATACATATAAGACATACGAAATGAAGTCTATATATTATTTAAGTAATGCTTTGTATAATAAAAAGTATTCACAGAAAAATCTAGAGTATTCTATTGTATGTTACAATCTTTTAGAATTTATTAATTAGCATTAACATTAATCTGACTAATGTTAATCAAGCTATAATACGGCTAATAGAGCTAATATATATAGGGCAAGTATATAATCCATTTTATATAGAGAATAAATGAACGTAAATAAAAATAAATGAACGATTTTGAATATAATTTACTACATTTTAATATTTAAAGGTTAAATTAAAAAAAGAAATTTGCAAACATGCTTTTCTATTTTTTAAAATAGTAAAATAAATAAGATTTTAATTTTTTAGTATATTA